ACATACATACATACATACATACATACATACATACATACATACATACATACATACATACATACATACATACATACATACATACGTATATATATATATATATATATCATACACACATTCAATCTAAGCAGACAAACAATATCAACAATACAAAAACTCAATTCAGAGTGCATTGTATATATAAAAGTTAAACTATGAAGCGCTTCATAGCTATGCTTACCGCGGCTGTTCTGCTTACGTGGTCATTCATCGCGTCTCTTGTCGGTCTCGTATCTTTTCACTGGTGGTCAGGACCGGGTGGCTTTCAACTGGGCATAGCTTCGAATTGTCAAGAGTTTGCGGAGAGTGATGTTAATGGTTTGACATTCAACAAGTGCGTTCATTATAACATTGGGGCCTATAGTAATTCAACAGAGACGTGGATGGCGGGACTGCTGATAGTTTCTATCCTTAATGGTGGCATATGCTTGCTCATAATGCTTTTCAAGACCATTTTCATATTCTGTTGCTACAATCTTGCTGGACCATCAACAGCAACCTTCACGGTCATCCAGGCGCTGCTGATCGTTACAGTATGCATACTCGTGGGTAAGAACTATGGATTCGAGTATCCCGAAGGAGCAGATTCCTTAGGTGCTACATACTATATCGTTATATCAGCCGCTGTTGGAAGTATGTGCGCTGCCGCATTGACAGGCGTGGATACAATAAACAATCGCAGGGAAAAAATGACTAAGAAGAGTAGCACCGCGCAAGGGGTAGAGCAGCCACCAATGAATATCACCAATGTCAGCAACGCCCCGTCAAACATGCCGCAGCGATATACAGGCGGGAATAAGGAGAAGAAACTGCAAGATATATACGCCGTATATATACTCAGATTGCAAGATATAATAGTACCGATAGATAGTAATGCGATATTTACTGTTACTAGTTAAGAAGTTAAAACAATATACTGAATATTCCAGCGCCACCACTATCAGAGCACAAATGGCTATTTTTTCGGTGAATGTAGTCTATTTTGGCCAACGGAGCGAGTTGAGTCGTCCACAGGTTTAGAAATATTAAATGAATATGCTTTCGCATGAATGCATTGCCGTACCTAATCATTAAACCAAACACATGAAATTGGAGCGTTCGTACATTTAGTTTTGTACAAGAACATAATGTTATTGTCCATAACTGTATGTAGATACAATTTGGGAACATTGACAATTAATAAAAAGTACAATGTCGCCCTATAAAGTTGTTCATATAACCAATATCTAGACAAGGATGCACCTGGGTGTTTCATCTTGATTAGTAGGTTTACACGCTTTCATTCATAAAAAGGAAACTGATGTAAGTTTCACGTACGCCTTCGATCGAGCTTTATAGTAAGTTCTCAATCCAGGTATAAATGCGACATTATGGCCTATTTTAATGCTCTGCACTCATACCTGAAATAAGATATGTACATCAGTTTAATATATCTACACCTATGCAAGTCATTTATAGTAAGAATATTTTCAGTGTGGGTGCGTGCATTCATGTCTTAGAGCCTCTCTCCATGAACTGGCCAGACGACGTGGATATGCCTATCGGTATAGCTCATAGTCATTCACAACCCCGTTTTAATCCACGCGAGTCAAGCCTTACCCCTGTGCTTGGCTTTTGAGAGTGTTATATACACTTTACCAAGCAGGGCTGTAGAGAGCGTAATATACACCTAGTGCTCCTCTCTGATCGATGAATACCCTTCTCACTCCAAAGTACTATAGCTTCGCTCCAACAATCCATACCAAACACGGCTTATTCGAGGGATTGCTTTCCTGTACATGCCTACAAGCTTCATACTTATTACTACAATGCTCCATACTTATTACTATTCTACAGGCCGTCATTATTACCATTTTGAAATAGTGTGTGTGTCATGGCAGACGATGCCTGGCGACCCGACTACCAACAGCGGAAAACATTGTGAGCGCTGTAGCATATCTCTCGCGTACTAATTACATATAGCAGTACCCTGTCTACCAATACCTCTGACAGATCTGTCACATCGACATATCTGACACATCTGACCGTACTCGAGATTGGTACCCATCAGACCGCAAACTTCAGGGCCTTATTGCGCCTATTCTATTTACATCCCTGAAGCGTTCCATTGCGCTACGATCTTTCACATCTGTCTTTGATGTCCGTTGATTGATCGTAGAACATAGACAATACTCTTAGCACCAGCACGAAGTCTCACGGTGGGCCTTTAATACTATTATGAATATTTGTTACACTTGTCGATGATGCTCTGGGGGTGGGAGCGGAAAAGAAGCCCTTTCAAGTCCATTGTAATTATCATAACCTACTTTTTCCAATGGTGCTTTGGGGATATATA